GGAAAAAGCAATATAATTGGGAGTAATACATGCGGGGCCTTGGATCACTCATTGCAATGATGCATATTTTTGACAACCCATATTGTTTAGGGAGAAGGGGTCACTCAACCCACCCAGCAGTTGTTTTAAATCTTACTTGCAGCTTCACAGGGAGCGCACGGCACCAAATTATGAGTTTAAAAGACAAGCGCCACCACCTCCTGATGGTCATCCATTTAATCAGGGATGACCTGAAATTTAGAAATGTTATTTAACGTAAAAACATATCTGCCATAAGTGAAAATTCCTAAATTGAACTACAAACCATGGATGAAATAACTTCTGTTTTTAAAATCCTTGATAAAGGAGGGAGTAACTGTTACATGCTCGGACACCCAAGGTTCCACACACTGTTAAAGGGGTTAGCATAGTTCTTTAAACAGACTAGAATTGAAGATAAATTAGTATAATGAGTTATTGATATTCCACCGGTTTTCACACCATTTAAGGAACTTTATCACTGCATTAGAACAGACCACCCAAAGGTACTGAAGTAGGAACTTTTAAGTGATGAAATTCTCCAATTGTTGTAACTGACCAACATCTTCTCCCAGAAATGACTGTCTGAAATGCCGTATCCCAGAGTAGATGTTTGATGGTATCATGGAACTAAAACCTTGTACGCAGTCTTGCCACAGGATTGGACTGGGACCTGTGCACTTGTACAGCCAGTGATGTTTTATATGCAGTACCAATGACAGTGGGGCAGTTAATCAACATGGCGAAACACCCCAAAACCAGTAGGGCTAAGAGACCAGTCAAAGGAGGGAGTTTAGGCTCCACAGTGTACAAGGATAGCATAGGGGTGCCCAGGGGAGTGCTAGATGTTGTAGTTGCATTCCATGTACCCGCACCCTAACGTACCGATTGATCACCACAGCCTTTTCTAGAGAACATATTACTTTCATAAGTATGAAAGGGGGAGGGTACATTTCTCATAAGGGAACAGTTTCAATTGCTAGCAGAACAAGAAGACCCAACCCATATACAGATATTGATAAAAATGATGACAGTGTGTAAATGATGTTAAATGATATGGATGATAAATGATGAGATTGTTCAAAGAATGTCCAAATCATGTGAAATTTCAAATGATGAAATCATTAGAATGAAGAACCAGCTACAAAGTGGTATTACTTTGCACTATTCTAAAATAGTTTCTAACTTTTATGTTTTATACTGTTATTATTGATGCGATTCTCAAATGGTATGTTTCTTTAAACTTTGTAAAACAAGTGTCTTAACACTGAAAGTGGTATAGGAACGATTTCTGTGAAAGGAGGGAGTAGTAGTAAATGTTCTGATACCAAGCTAATTGCTGCTATTTTGAAGAGTGATATTGAATGATTAAAACTAGAAGTTATGCACAAGGGAAAACTTTTATGTTTGAAGACCAGCCAAAGTATTTTTTGTATTTGTTGTATTTTTTGTATTTTTTGATGATGGTTATTTAAACCATTACATTCTGATTGTATGTTTTTAATATGAGTTATGTACTATGCAAAGTTCAGATGAAGAACTCATTAATTTCAGTATTGTGTTCACACCTTAAAAGGTGTGAAAGGAGGGATTGTTAGAAATTAAAATCAATGTTTAATAGCATAATTTAGTCTAAAACATATCGTCAGTTTAAAAGCTGTTTTATTGTGAAAAAACCCGGAAGTTCTCAGGAAATCTCAATGCCAAGCTTTTATTCTGAAAATCCTTCATATCCGGTTAGCAGTTAGCATGTGGCTAATAATAATAATACGTTTTCTGAATGTAAAGTGAAAATGACATGGAGTGTAGCACACCAAAACCTACGGACTTTAACACTACATCGATAGACGTCAAGATATTATTACTGCTGAATATTAAATGAAGGTACAGTTGATCGTAGAGTGTTTTCACATTACGTGAGTAGCTATGACGTCAGAGGGAGTTACCGTAAATGAGAACTGTGCCGTAGAGGTGTTTCTAGGATTTCTAAACTAACTATTACAGCTGTTTATAAAGTATTAAATAAAAAGTAATGAGAGAGAGTAGGAGGAGAAAAGGCGTGTGGAAGTGAGCAATGAATACAAAATATCGAAATCCTCTGTTATGCGCGATTGAAGATCGAGGTGGGCGGCCCCCTACGTCACAGCCCCCAGAGAGGAGGAGCGAAGGAGAGATGCAAGCGGGAGAATCAACGTGTGCTCGCTCTCTTGCCTTGGTACCAGCTGCGGGACAACATCTGCTTTTGTCCCCCCAACTACCCTTTGTTTGTTTCACTACCACGCTGCTTAAATTAAAGTAACCAATTTGAACCCTTTCAGAGACTCATTTGTCTCTTAATCTTTAAACTTCTTCCTGGACGCGAGAGAATCAGCACAGATCATTAATGTGCATCATTCCTTGATTTATTGTAAAATGAATCTGAACTTTTTGATCTGTTATGATGATAAACTGAAGCAATTTCTAAATTAACCCAATTAAGTGAGTTTTAAATCGTCCTACTTAGTTTATAAGGAAATGATGAAGAGGAACAAATTAAATTATTTGAAAATGATATCTATGTAGGTGCTGACGCTGTTGGCGGTTCTAGTGTTAACAGACATTTAAATTAAATATGTGTAATGGCAAATGCCATATATGATTTTCTTACCTGGAATTCTGCCTTTTTGAACAGACGTTTTGACTGAGTCCTAGCTATATTGTCTGCAGTTCTAGGGTTAATATGAATCTAATATGATTGTCATCGGTCTAAATTAGATTTCAAATGATTAACTGTGTATGTGATGAAGATCATAGTGTGGGTTAAATCCATTTTCATAACCACTGTCTTTTAACTGATTTAAATGCGGAAACTGGGCTTATTCATCAGAATTTCGTATGACTTGACTTGACTTGCTTGACTCTCACCACAGTGACTTGGGACTTGCTTGATACTTGTAGGTCAAGACTTGAGACTTGCTCATGACTTGCACATGGAGGACTTACTCCCACCTCTGGTGTCCGATCTCCATTCAGAAAACACGCATTTTAAAAGGTTTTTCGCCTGCCGTCTGTCTGCAGACTTGTCAAAGCATTAATTCATGGTTTTTACTAACCGGTATCAGTATGTAGTTACTTCGGCATCATTTTGAAACGTGTATTACAATTAAATCACGGTAAAATATGTTCATTTTGTTGTAGTTGGTTTCTACCACAGTATTTACATGGATATAAGCCCCGCCCCCTGGCCAGCACGTCTTGTTTGAATGACAGGAGTAAACACAACTGACAGCCGCGGGGAAACTCCGGCGATTAGTGCGTCCGTTGTGAACGCAGCATAATGCAGTTCAGAGACCAGACTTTAAAGCAACTTCTTATTAACAGTATCAGGGCCTCAAAGCCATGGTGTCCGTAGGACGTACAATTATTTTTGGGGCATCATGGCCAGACCGAGGGGCCGTCATGGCCGTTGTGAAATTCCTACTCTGGACAACAACTGATTTTGTCTGAGATAAAGGCTTTTAGATTTTTTTTATTACCCCCCATCAGCAGATTGAGGCTCCATAGAGCGGTCACTCTTTGAGGACAAACAGCAGGTCCAGGTCCAGGAGCAGGAACAGGTCCAGGTTCAGGAACAGGAACAGGAACAGGTCCGGGCTGCTGCTCTGGGCTTCAACACACAGATGTTTGAGTGTTATCAGTGCGTGCTGAGCTGCAGAGTTTTAAAGAAAATAAGTACATTTACTCAAGTACTGTACTTAAGTTCAATTTTGAGGTACTTGTACTTTACTTGAGTATTTCCCTGTTATGCTACTGTGTACTTCTACGGCACTACAGTTCAGAGGTACATGGTGTACTTCTACTCCACTACAGTTCAGAGGTACATGGTGTACTTCTCCTCCACTACATGTATTTAATACCTTTAGTTACTTCACAGATGTGGATGAATGATGTGAAATATAATCAAGTGTTAAATCAGACTTTAGTTCCACCTGGAGTAAATCCACAAGCTACCCTGCAGTATACAAAGTCATTCAAACTAGCTGCACCTTTACCAGCTTTGAGAACACTTTCATGATCAATCATTATAAAACATATCATATATATTATTCTGAAATGGACCAATCTGCACAATGACTACTTTTACTGTCGCTACTTTCACTATATTTTGATGAGAATACTTATAAATGTTACCTTTTATTATTGATCTAGTTTAATGTCATGCTCTTGTACTCCTATCTCTGTTTACTATAGTTGTTAATGTTTTTTATTAAACAGTGTTCCTGTGAATGAGGCTGAGGGGATGTGTCGCCCTCTGGTGGCGACACATCCCCTCAGCCTCATTAAAAAACATGAAATTATGTTTTTTCGTTCTTGTATTTATTCTTCCTTCATAATTCAACATTTCTTTAAATAATTCATTTATTCCTCTTTTGTTTCCACTTGTATTTTTTATTTTACTTTTTTTTTTTAAATACTTCGCAGGTCATGTGACGAGGAACAACCAATCACAGCAGAGATGTCTCAGTAAATATGGCGACACACACACACACACACACACACACACACACACACACAGATGAAAACATGTAGATAAGAGCCTCACACACACACACAGTGGTTAAAGCGTTGGTCATCTCTTGCCTCCGAGTGCATCGTTGCTCACATGCAAATCCTCCAGAAAAGCACAGCGTTTCCCCAAAACCCTAACCCTAAACCTAACCAAGTCTTCACCCTAAAAATAATGATTCCATGATGTCCCCATAAGGGACTGTGTAAACAGATCTAGGTCCCCACAAGTATAGTAATGCTAGGCCACAAGTCATCAGATAAATAGAGGGTCTCTGTGTGGAGTTATTATCTGAGTAATGATTGATAATAATAATAATAATAATAATAATAATAATAATAATAATAATAATAATAATAATAATAATAATAATAATAATAATAATAATAGTAATAATAATAATAATAATTATTATTATTATAGTTATTGTGTACAGGTTCAGCTGAGGTAAAAACAGGAAGAGGGTTAAAGTCCGTCTCTGAATTTACTCTAAAGTCTGAAGTAACTAAAGTCACAAAGAGTTGTTCTTATTCTCTGAGCAATGATTGATAAGAGTTGTCTCTAAAAGCTCTAAAGTCACAAAGAGTTACAAACCTTAGAGAGAAGCAGAAGGTGCGACACGAGGAGCACGAAGTGAAGGGGAACAGCAAACAGGAAGCACTTCAAAACGAGTCAGACGGGCTGTGCTGTTAGTTGTGTTTCCTTCCTCCTGCTCTTCTCTCCTCCCCCTCTGATCAGAACCTGCCTGAGCACCTCAGACTGACTGCTGATTGGTCCCCTCACCCTCAGCTGGCCTATCAGCAGCCAGAGCCAGTCATGAAGGAGGAGCTCCACTCCCCTCTAGATAAACTCTGTATCATTACACAACACACACAGATACCAAGCGAGGCGCTGTGGGGACATTTATTTGGGTTCCTTCCCAGATGGGAATTGTGGGAAATGGAAGTAGACAGATTAGCAAAACAGGCTGTAAGAAAGGAAAGTATAGACATGATCACATGATCGAGGTCTGAGGGAACGAGTGTTACAGGGGAATCATTCAAACATGGCAGCAGATATGGGACCGGGAGACAAGAGGGAGGAGACGATATTCATCCAGGAAGGAGTCGAGATGAGGCGGTCCTGACGAGACTCAGAATAGAACATGGTTATTTAAATAGACACTAAAGATCATGGGGAGCATCAGACTGGACTTTGTGAAGGGTGTGTGTAAGTCGTAGCCTTGTAAAAAAATGTATAAAAACAGTGGAGCAGCTGAATGAATATAAACTGAAGGCAAGCTATATTAGAAATAAAAGCAGCAATCCAGCTGACTCCGGACGGGTCCCATCGCCGCCTTGTTGCCCGCCCCTGTCTCCGGCCCCCTGAGTTTCCCTGCCTCCGCCTCTGCCTTGCCCCCGGGTCGTCCGCCCGAGACCCTCTCTTCGACCTCTGCCATGCCGTCCGCCCAATAGGAGTCTAAAAACATGATGCATGGCTGTGCAAAATAAAAAAAGTTATATTTTGGTAAAACTCCTTTTTTAGAGACCTACCTTCAGGGTCTGATGAGGTTTTTGATAATTCCTCTTCTAGATCATTCCTCGGGATCATCTTCAAAACTTCTCTGGTCACTTTAATGGTGTTTATGCAGTAGTACAGAAGCATCAGATCCACTGTGTCCTCCCGGTCTGCTTTCTCCAGTCGACTCTTTGAGATTCCTGGGAATCCTAGGACCTTCCCCTGCAGGTACCACTTGAAGTCTTTAAACTCATTTTCCTCCAAACTTTCTAAATTTCTGAATAGGACTCCTCCAGGTATCTCCATCTTTTCTCCCTGCAGAGCAAAGGTACCAAGAAAGAACATCTTTATCTTACAGAACTATATGTTGTTGTTTTGTATTTTGTACTTTTGAAAACCATAACAGGCCTTCGGGATCCAAAGAACAGCCGCCATGTGACTTTGGATGGCTTCAATTCAGATGTCGAGTTAGTAAATACCCTAATCAGTTCTGAACTTGTTTTAATACTTTCCACTTCACAAAAGACATTCAGGAAGTCAATCCTAAACTTGAAGACAGTCAGTAGAGTCAAGTCTTTTCCTTTAATGTCTTGGTTTGGTAACCTGTCTTTAAAGAGCAGAAACTGTCTCAGTCAGATCATAAAGTGGTCTAGCAGACTGATTGGTGAGTCACAGCTAAACCTGGAGTCCCTGTTCATCAGACCGTTACAGAGGCTGTCTAACTCCATGTTTAATGAAGACTCCCACCCCCTGCAACCTGAGCTTCAGCTTCTTTCTTCGGGCCGGAGGTTAATCTTCCTAAAGGTGTAGCACCAAGAGGTTTAAAAACACCTTTGTCTGTGCTAGTGGTTTTCAATGTGTCTGTGTTGTTTGAAGCATGTGTCACGATGGATACCTTTTCTTACTTCTGCAAACCAAGTCTACCCACTGGTACAAAGAAATAACCTGGACCGGAACTGGACAGATTGGATATTGTGACAGTGGGATACAGTTAGGGCTGATGGTAGAGAGAGACTCACACACCTGGTTCTGGACTCTGGCAGTAAGATGGTTACTGGACACAGAGCTGAAGGACTGCTCCCCCTACAGAGGAAGATGGCCTCTGAGCCCTTCACACTTCATCCCTTACTCAATATCAAGCCACACTTATTGTTTTTACTTCTTTATTTTAATTGTATAATGTCAGACTTTTGTTGCTGTCAGTTAGGGGGAGAGTAGGGGCTCAGAAAACTGACATCTGTATTGTTTCATCGTTTTTTCCTTCTAATTTTGTATTCTTTTCTAAACTACACACTGTTATTTACTCAACAATAAGACACAATTATCCTTGTGTTTACGTGTATGTTTGATTGTATAATTTCGGACTTTTGGAGTCTTTCTATATGGAGTATTATATAAGATAAGACTAGATAAGACAAGATCGTATCTAGAATTGTGAATATCTTGGGTATATTTTAGTTATTGTAGAGTCCAGGGGGATTAAACATGTGAAACCACGCTTTTACAAACACACATTAGCCCCTTTAAATGCTAAATATATGATGTAACATCTCGGACCTAAAAGTCAATGTTAGGAATGTATGAAGGTAGATATGGTGCAAAATGCGAGAGCGTGTAAAACCTGATGTGAGCACTTGCAGAAAAAAATCTGAGCTTGTGTGCATACATTTACACTTGTATAACATATCCACGTATCTGTGAACCATATTTGAAGTCACAGAATAAAAAAAAAAGTTTTGTAGCTTGTAGAAAAAAAATGAACTTAGTGATGAAATGTTCACTTGCAGAAAAATATATATTTTTTAAATATATTTTCCATTACAACTGCAACTTGGTTATTACAACCTCTCAAATCAGTCATTACAACTTCACCAATCTGCTCTGTGGCAGTATACATCCACCAATCTGCTCTGTGGCAGTATAAATCCACGAATCTGCGGCCTTGACTTTTGCTACACTTCTTGCGATGAATGTGTCGCTAAAGTAATTTTCACCTGTAGATGTGGGGGGAGGGAGGGAGGTTGGAGCGAAGGGGCGGAGCTATCGAACGACGAGGCTCTGGTCAGTCACACAGTCACAGCCATAGTCAGGTCGAACCGGATGACTGCGGGGCTAACGGTCCGTGTCTTCATGCTTATATCGGACTATTGTGACTCGCTCTGCGGTTAAAACAGACGGTGCATGAATGCGGTTTTGCGGTAAGTGAAATTCGAGTACTTATTTATGTGTTTATGATTTCAATCAGCTACGTAATGAATGTTAAGGCTTGGGTTAGCGTGTAAGCGAGTGGTAGCTACATCGGTGCTAACGATGCTAATCGTAGCCTCCAAGTTAAAACCATAGACTGTATATATAAAGGTTAAAACTAAATAGACAAGTGTTAAGCGTTAAGTGGGATAATACTGTAGAACAAAAGGCTTCTGTTTGAGGTTGATAAAATAAGGTCATCCTTGTAACTTAGAGAGATATTTTATTATGTAGGTAGGAACTGTATGCATCGCTAAGGTTAATTTAAATTGGCTATGCTCAAGTATGTAGACTAACGTTGAAGTAGTGTATGTGAAATCAACCTCACAATAAGATGTGTGTATATTACAATTATTAATGTCATATTTCAAGATGATTACTTGGATATTACAATATGGTTGGTTGAGCTGGAGTTCATTATTGAGCTTACACGTTAACGTCACAGTCATCTGAAGAACGAACCCAAACCTTGTTGTTTTTATTAATTGTAGGGGAGAAGGGGGTAAGTTGAGCCAGTGGGTAAGTTGAACCACCCCCTGTAACCAGGCAACGCCTTATAGTTGTAATCACGTGACCATAAATTATGCAAGCTTCTCCCATTTCTCATTGCCTGTGAAAGAGAGATGCTCATTGTGGTCTAGTAAGTAAACATTTGTACAAAAAAACGTTTTTTGCTTGTCAAAGTACATTTTCTAGATGTCAGCTATATCGGCTGTCATGTAAAAAAATTTTTATCCAGGTTTAAACAAATATATTGTATATGTTGATGTGTTGGCAGTAGGGATGTGCATCTCCATCACTGAGGCGATGCGATGCGCATCTCGATACGTTGCCAACGATACGATACATTAACGATACATTTGAAGTACCGGGCGATGTGATACGATACGATTCACCCCTGTTGCGATACAGTTCGATACGATTTGATTCAACATTAAGCGATTCGGGGCGATACGATGCGATTCAACACGGTGCAAAATAATGATACAATTCAATATGGTACGACAGAGGATTTTGTTTTATTCCTTATTGACCAGCACCTGCAAAAAACAATTACCATATAGCAATGGCCATACAACTGCCAGACTGATGTACATAACACTCATTCAGTAGGCTAACTCACCAGTGAGCAGAAAGCAGCAGTTTCTATTATGAACATATAAAGAATATAAATAACCTTTCAAAAATAGGTCTTAATAACATTTCAACTATTATTGGCAGTCACAGGCTGCTGTAAAATAAAAACCACTCTCACTGACATAACACCTCACTGAGTGATTTAACTAATATGTCTAGCCTGCAGGTTTTTCTTCAGGAATATGAGTTGATCAACTTGATCAGGATGAAGCAAGCTGCGCTTTGCTGTCACTATGTCACCGGCTGTACTAAACACTCGTTCAGAGGGTACACTTGTTGCAGGGATGGACAGGTAGCTCTTTGCCAATGTTGAGAGCAGTGGAAGATCCACTTGTTTTTTCCACCACTGCAACACATCACCACTCAAACCTAAAGCATCCCTCTCTCTGTACTTTAAGATTTCCTCCTTAGCTCTCTCCGTTGTGGTCTTTACTGGTGATATTGCAGGGAGGAAATCACCGAACATCTGGTCCAAGGCCGTCTTCTTCATGGGAGGGACATCATCTAGGGAGTGGAAAAGAAAAGAAGAGAAGAGAGGATTTTTAGATTTAGATTACAAAAATGATGACATACAATACTATACAATACTATACACCCATTTTCAAATCAATACACTTTTATAACTTTTGGCACAGTTCCTATCAAAACAAACCTGTCTCTTCTTCCTCTCTGTGGGGGCTCCTGTCACCTTCTGTTTCAGCTGCCTGGTCCTCATTAAGTGTATCACCATCCCCTGCCTGACAATAATCAGCACAGATGAGCTATTAGATTTCCTTAAACTAAACAAATAAGCGTCAGTTAAGTAAGCCACAGGTAAATAACAGTGAAAGTGAGAAAGACACTAGCTACAATATATTGAGTAGTATATTCTTACCTGTCCATCCATCTTCACCACCTCTGCTGTTATCCTCATGAATATCATGTCCTTAGTGTCGTTGTCATCCAGGAAAGCCAGGTCTATTTATCAAGTTGCCCCTAATTTTTGAAGAATCCGAAGTGTTGCCAAACGTTTGATTTATATTTATTTTTCGGTGCGCTGTGTATTTCTTTCTCCTCGACTTCCATGCTTGTTGATAACTGTGACGCGGGCACGCAGCTCTCGGGCACAGTCGTGGCGAAGCAAAGACCAAAGATCGTCTCTGCAGAGTGCTGACACGAGTGGATGAGTGGATAATATTATATATATGAATGAATTGATTTTTTACCGATGCAAAGAGACGCTACAATCGATGCATCGCGAGTTCAACCCAAACTGTAGCCGATGTGCACTCTTTCAACCGGTGCACTCGCATCTTGAACGTTTATGCCGGTGCACCGATGCGAATCGGTGAATCTTAACATCCCTAGTTGGCAGCGTATTAAACCATGTGAGTCATTAAGCTAAAGATGACTCTGAATTTTAATGCTAGGCTATTTTTTCTAAAATGGTGGCTATGGGGTAAAGTGAACCGTGGGCCTTGGGGTAAGTTGAGCCAGTTTTTCAATGGAGAAATGAATGAAAGTAGGCCAAGTTGATAATAAGAGCTCATTGTAGGCTACATTTAAAGTTGAATTTACCCTGTGTTTGATTGGTAAGATGTATGAAATTGTATCACCATTTGCATGATTACTTTTCCTTTTATTAACATGTTAAAAAAAAATCAATCAATTCAATCGAAATTTATATTAAAAATATTTGAAAAACTAAACTTGTATTTGGTTTGTTATTTATTGTTTAAAGTTACCTTTAAGATTTTTTGTAGGTATGCCCAGGTTTGAACAGGTATGCCCAAGTTTGAACAGTGGTTCAATTTACCCCCTGACCTGGATCAACTTACCCCTTACCCGGGGCAAGTTGAGCCACAAGACTTTTTTTTTTTAGAAGTAATATTTTCACTGCCCTTGATCAAATATTAATTCATCATTGCCATTGATAGGAGACATCCTGAATTATAGGTGTGTGATTTCATTTTTACTATGTGTCATTTCTCCTTGCTTAAATCAGTGGTTCCCAAACTTTTTGTGCCCAAGGCACACCAAAGGACAAGTAAAAATCTCAAGGCACACCTATTGTGCAAAATAGCCCTTATAACACGTGTTATCACTCATATCATGTAAAATATCTGTAAATGTGCATAATTATTTACTAATGCCAAATAAAATGTGACAAAGACAACTATATTACTCATGAAATATTTATTAACGAAATATTTCAGAAATTAATTTGAAACTTTATGAAATTAGGCTTCATCAAAGCAGCAACACACTCATTTAAACCAGACAGGTCACAAAATTAAAAATGAGGCAAAGACTCAGCAGAAATTCAGCACAGAGAACTGTCAATGCAAGGAAGCTGCACTGTCCATGGGCCTGAACTACAAATTATAAATGTAACATTTCAGCAATCAGCATTGAAACATGTGCTATTGTAAATATTTTGCCGACTTACAAATTAGTGAGATACATGTGCCTGTCGGGGTGCGCAGATTTTTTTAATTCCTTGGTGGCACTGAGGAGAGGGCCACTCGCAAGTCCTGTTCAACAGAGAGCCGTGACCTCCTGTTGTTCTTCATGTAAACCAGAGTAGAGAACGCCAACTCACACAGGTAGGTAGTGGGAAAAAGAAGAAGTTGCTCAATCGCGTGGTGGGAGATGCTTGGGTACTCCGATGCAGAAGCCAACCAAAACTGATCCAGTGGGAGCTCACTAAATTTGAGTTTCAGTGTGCGGTCCTCACGGAGTTCTGCGCACTCCTCTCTCTCTTTCATAGTGAGCTTTTCTGTTGGGAATTCCTGGTGGAATGGGTCTTGGCATTTAACTCGTTGAGATGCCCAAATATGTCTGCGAGGTAAGCCAGCCTGGCGCACCACCTCTCATCCGCGAGCTTGTCTTTATGTGGGACAGCGTGTTCACGTGAAAACTCCAAAAGCTCTTCCCGAAGCTCATAAAGACGGGATAGGACTTTCCCCCGTGACAGCCAATGTACCTCTGTGTGGAGGATCAGGCTTTGGTGGTCGGCTCCCATCTCGACGCACAGCTGGGAGAAGAGGCGAGATTTCAGGGGCCTTGATTTGATGTAATTCACCATCTTCTCCCGTAGTATGGCTTTCCATTTCTTTGCAGAAGAAAAACGTCTCTCTGATAGAGTCAGCATCAACATATCTGACGTTTGCCAGAAGCTGGGCAGCCCCACTTATGTCAGTAGATTCGTCTATTTGTAGGGGAAATCTGCCGCTCGCCTGCAGTGCCATAAGACAGGTAACTTTCATGATACTGTCTGCTGACAGTTTGTTTCCTCTTTTCTTTCGGTGGTGGGTTGTCGGCAGTCTCTGCACTGGTGGTTGGTGGTTTGCTCCGCACAAGAAAGCGCTCCATTTTCCCTCTTGCGTGTTTCTCTGTTTTAATGTTGTCCTTCAGCCTTCGATGTGTCACGGTCTTATAAGTCCCACCTGCAACTGCGTTAACAGCGAAATATGGGGTTCCGTGAGGATTTTTTTTTAAAGAATTGTTTTTAGGTATAGAGTTTGCCTCTGTATTATGAAATGAGTGCATACAAAGTACTGATATAGTACATTAAAAAATAATTATTTTTGTGTAGTTGTATATTGCAATAATAACGTATGGTTGTCACAAAATCCCACGGCACACCCGGACTTGCCTCACGACACACCAGTGTGCCGCGGCACACCGTTTGGGAACCACTGGCTTAGAGGACAGCATAACTAAAAAATGGCTCAACTTACCCCACTCTCCCCTATTACCAAATTGGTATCAAATAAATAGTAAGCATTGGTAACACAACTTCCAAAGTTACAGTAAAATAAAAAGGACCCTGACTCGGCCAATACACAATCCAACATGTTCAACAGAAGAGAATCAGTTATATTGTTTGTACACATGGTTCTTTACATATATATCTGTTTGTTTAAAGTATCCAGGTGATGCAGACAGGATGGACCAGAGAGTGAGAGACAGAACTGGACTCCTCACAGCAGTGAACTTCAGCACAGGTACAAATACTGTACAAAGAATCAAGAAAGATATTGGTTTAAATAAATGAAGTATTGACTTTAATACACTGATATACATTCCATTAAACAATACTAAATACTAGATCACCTACACATCAGTGAAGTTGAGGGGTTTTTCCATGCAAAGGGTTACATTTAGATGTTAACAAGCAATATTACTTTGTCAGCTTTCTAATTGAAGGTATTGAAGGCAAAGCTATTTAACACATAGTGAGAACTGCTATTTATCTCTCAATATTGTCTGTAAAAACGTGGTAAAAGTGATTATTTCAGTGAGACAACAGAGCAAGCTTGTTTTAATAACAGTTAAATATTATTTTGATAATAAAATACATTTCAATGTTGATGAATTTCATACTGTTCATTCATAATCTGATTGTCTTTGTAGCTCACTGTTGAAATAAAATAAAACATTACCATTACAAAATAATTATATCTACAGCCCCTAAACACAAGCACACCTCTTTCATAAATAACACAATAATAATATGTTTTATGTTTCCTGTAATTTCTGTTAGGAAAGGACATGCCTGAAAGACACGACTCAGCATCTTCTCCTTCTCTGAGGGTCAAGAAGAACATCCAAGAGGAAAATTAAAAGCTGATGTTATGAGATGTTAAGACCAGTACAGGACATTCACTAAGAAACTACTTTTATTGTGAAGTCAGCTGATCGAATGCACCTATTTCCACATCTACACTCCATCAGCTGATTATTTATATTTGCCTCACTTTATGAGCTTCACAACATGTACCTTGTACCGCAGAGTTTGCAACGTCACAATAAATGGGGCCAATCTTCAGTCGGATGTGAATGTGTAATGTAACATTTTCAGTAAGAATAATGGACAAAAGGAGTGCAAATACAAATACAATTTATTGAAATCTGAACCAAAAGTTAATCAAACATGTTTTAAATATGCTGCTGCACGTTTGCTGACTGGTCACAAAAAGCGTGACCACATCACCTCTATTCTGTCCTCACTACACTGGCTTCCAGTTCGGTTCAGAATTGATTTTAAAATCCTTTTATTTGTTTTTAAAGCACTAAATGGGCTGGCTCCGGCCTATATAGCTGAACTCCTCCAGCGCTACACCCCAGCCAGAGCTTTAAGGTCTGCTGACCAGCTGCTGCTGGTAGTGCCCAAGACCAGGCTCAAAACCAGAGGGCACCGAGCCTTCTCAGCAGCTGGCCCTAGGCTCTGGAACACTCTGCCCCTCCATGTGAGGTCGGCCCAGACCCTAGGGGGTTTTAAATCTACTCTTAAGACACACTTCTTCTCCCTGGCCTTCTAGTTAGAGCGGAGCACGACTCCTGACTTTTCCTTGTGTTTTATTTTTATTTTGTTTTTAAGTTATATCTGTTGTAATTTATTGTCGTTTACTGTGTTTGTAGTGATTGTGTTTTTATTACATGTACAGCACTTTGGCTCGACCAAAAATCGCTTTTAAATGTGCTTTATAAATAAAACCTGATTTGATTTGATTTGATTTAAATAAAAAGCACATATGGACAGAAGGTGTAAACCTATTAAATGTATAAGTAAACACATTTAGTCAAATAAAGTGACAGACTAGGCCTGATCAGGTGGTATCAGCTATGCATGGGCTCCTCCATCAGGTCTGATCCTCCTCACAGAGGAAAGACCCTCAGTCCTCTCCAAACCAACAGACTGGACGTCCATCACACGGAGGTTTCTCTCTGAAGTCTCTGCAGCTCTCTGGACACCACGCTGTCTCAATCCGTCCATCACACGGAGGTTTCTCCCTGAAGTCTCTGCAGCTCTCTGGACACCACGCTGTCTCAATCCGTCCACACTGAATATGAGAGGGGAAAATGAAAATAATAAATGCTTTAGACAATAAGAAATATAAAAGTGAACCGTTGAGTTGCTCAGTTTTTTTAGATTGT